GCTGGGGATGGAGGTGGGGGATGCGGGTGGGGGAAGCGGGGGGAAGTTGTTGGTTTTGGTATAAATGATCTACAAGCATTTCATTTACAGGAATTTTTCAAAAAATAACAACGAAAAACCGAAATACCATAATTCAATTGAAATTCAGATACAATGTTCCATGTAACCAATCGGAATAAATATTTAAACTGCAGATCCCCAATGACACTATGATTGGTATAATGCACAGCACTACTTTTACAGTTTAACTACATATAGTTACCATAAATACTGAAATATTTACTGGTTTTCAGAATACCACAAAATTTAGGTACCCTATCAAAATATTCTGTTTCATGAAATCACATCTAAAATTATAATATTGCTCAACTTTGACGTTTGATTAATCATTTTAGCAAACATCAAAAGTAAATACACATAGAAATGATCAAATTGAGCTTCGGGGTTGGACGCAGTCCCGGAAGAAATAAAAATACTTGACAGATATAAATAGAATGCATGTGAAAATCTCATCAGCAGCCTGGTACAGACTTGTATATATGTAGGTGTGTAGAAACATAACTCCTGAAGGCTGTCAGGGGTCAACAGAGGTCACAGAAAAACACATCTGTTCAAAGTCTGAGGTATAACACTAAAGTATTGCAGGGCTCACATACATAACAGTTCTGTTTGTGATGGCCTATCACTACAACATCTGTGTTCCGTCTAATTTCTTACATCATTAAAAATATACAATCTGTAAATTAATTTTGATAACTTCTTGATCTGTATACGTATTCCGTCTAATTTCTTACATCATCAAAAATAGGCAATCTGTAAATTAATTTTGATTACTTACAAACTTTTAAATGATTAGTAGAATATAGTTTTCATTGTCATTAAGCTTTTTTTGGTTATGAACAATTGGGGTCTCACCGTTTTGTGATGTATGAGGCCGATTTGTGATGTATGAAGCCATAGCTATAAGTTACATTAACTTATTCACCCCTGAAGACACATTTGAACCCTTCCAATTCAAAGGTTGGAATAGTTCATTATGAAATTTCAGGGGTGAATGAGTTACATTTATCAAATCTACCTGTAATTTTTCCTACTGAATACATCTCAGGATCAAGAGTCCATCTTAATGTATTGAATATTTCTTTTTGATGATTGTAGATTTTTTTCAAATATATGCTAAACCAAGGCTAAATTTTAAAAGATATGGCTAACTTTTAAACAGGATGTAACAACTGTATGATATTTTGCAAGTCTTCAGTATTGAAGTTGAATATATTACATATGTACCGATACAGAGATATACAGTATCGTGCCGTACACTGTCCCTACAGTAGGGACCTCCTACACAACTTGATTATATTACATCATGTACATAATGGCCTTGATATTCAGGAAATTATATCAGGGAGGGGCTGAAGGAGGAATGGGGAACAGATAACGAACGAAAGAAGAGGAGGAGGACTTATAGGGATAAAGGCAGTGTGAGAGGGAGGGGGGAGGAATGGGGAACAGATAATGAACGAAAGAAGAGGAAGAGGACTGATAGGGAAGAGGAAGTGTGAGAGGCAGGGGGAAATAAAAGATAGAGGGAGGAAGAGGAGGAGGCCAGTAGGGCAGATAGGGATAGAGGAAGTGTTGAGGAAGGGGGAAATGAAAGAAGGTGAGTTAGACTTATGAGGATAGATGATAGAGTGTGTTCAAGTGAGGGGAAGGAGGGGGGGGATGCTGGTTTAAAAGACAGCTGAGGAAGACGGACAGTGATGAGAAATTATATGATGCTGAGTGT